AGGCCTCGACTATCTTGGGCCTCTGGGGGGCCGTCGTCGGGCTTCGGGGTTGTCAAAAGACGATTCGAGGCGAAACACCGGCCCTGTGGAAGTGGTCCAGACCTCCAGGGCCCACACATCAAAACTTTGGAGCAGCCGGGAGTCTGGGCACGTCGCGCTGGCTTATTTTTGGCGGGCCCCCCGGGCGGGCTTCCGTCCCACCCGCGCCGCCCGATCGGGGCGCCGGCCAAGGCGCGCGGCCTCGCTGCTCCCGGCCTGGCGCGGCCGAGCAGCGGGCGAACTCGCCCAGGGGGGCCCCGTCCAGGGATTCCATCCCCTGGGCCCCGCCCCGTGCGGCCGTGGCGGAGAGAGCCTCGACGGCCTCCCAGGATCAGCTCGAGGCGTCGACGTCGCCGTCGGCGTCGGGGCAAGTCCGGCGACTCGCTTCGACCCGCTCGGTTCCCTTGCTCGACCTCTGCACGGCACCACGCCGCCCTGCTGATTCTGGGCAGGTGGCGATGCGCACCTCGGGCGACGTACGTCAGCTGACTACCCCACCCACGCTGGGCACCACCGTCGGGTGAGTCAGTGGCTATTCGGGGTGACCGCACGGTTTTGGGAAAAGCGTCGTTCTCCGAGGATGTCTCGGGCGATTGGGGCCTCCGGGGTCCCAACTCCGTGCACCTTGCGGTGGAGGACCGTGCGGTGAGGTCATTCGGGATTTCGAGGTTACCGCACGGTGTGTCACCGCACTGCTTTGCACACCCGCAGTCTATCGGGGGTGGACAGACCTCCTACCTTGAAACGTCGATTAAGGAATTGGCCGTTTTCGGTTCGCGAGGGGGCGTCGCGGCCGTCATTTTTGCGGGTCCAGGTCAGTCGGTTTCGGTTCCAGGCCGTTTTCACTAAGGGGAGGTGTACTGAAGGGAGGTTTGTCCACCGCCGAGTCTAGCTGCCCTGACCCGGGCGAGAGCTGCCCGCAGCTCCTTTCTCTCCCTCGTCCTGCGCCTCCTCCCTTCGGGGCCGGGCGTGGTCTTGACTACCTCGAGCCACGGCAGTCACTGGGAGCTGCCCGCAGCATCTTTCTCCTCCTCGTCCTGCGCCTGCTACTTTCGAGGGCCGGGCGTGGTCTTGACTACCTCGAGCCGCGGCAGTCACTGGAGGCGAGGCCAGGCGAGAGCTGCCCGCAGCATCTTTCTCTCCCTCGTCCTGCGCCTCCTCCCTTCGGGGCCGGGCGTGGTCTTGACGACCTCGAGCCACGGCAGTCACTGGGAGCTGCCCGCAGCATCTTTCTCTTCCTCGTCCTGCGCCTCCTCCTTGCGAGGGCCGGGCGTGGTCTTGAATTATACCTCGAGCCGCGGCAGCCACTGGAGGCGAGGCCAGGCTCGCGAACGCAACGCTCCCAGCGGTCGCGACGAGGGGGCCCAGCGGGCCCAGCGGCCACGATTCTGCACAGTCTTTCGCTCGTTTTCGTTTGTCCTCCTTCTCCTCATCCTCCCTCCTCTGCGCTATTAATCGCTTCGCTCATTCCGCCGGCCCATATTGTTGCACCGTTGTGGGCTAGCCGAGTTTTGGGGCCTCTTGGGGGCCGTTTTTGGGCCTCTTGGGGCCTCTTTTGGGCCTCTTGGGCGCCTCTTGGGGCGTCTTGGGGGCCTCTTGGGGGCCTCTCGGGGCCTTTTTGGGGCCTCCTGGGCGCCTTCTGGGGCGGAGGGCTCGATTTTTCAGTTCTCGGTTCTCCTCTTGAGCCCCTCTTGGGCCCGTCTTGGGGCCTCTTGGTCCGTCTCGGGCGGCACTTGGGCCGTCTTGGGGGCCCTCCTGGGCCGTTCCGGGGCCGTCTTGGGAGCCTCGTGGGCCGTCTTGGAGCGGTCTTGGGGGCCTCTTGGGCCGTCTTGGAGCGTCCGGAAGCCGAAAAAGCCAGAACGCAAAAAAACATAGAAAAAACAATGAAAATCAACGATTTTGGCCTCTTGGGGCCCTCTTCGGAGGCCTCTTGGAAGGCCCTTGGGGCGTCTTGGAGGCCTCTTGGGCTGTCTTGGGCCCTGTTGGGCGTCTTCGGGCGATCTTTGGCCGTCTCGGGGCCCTCTTGGACCGTCTTGGAGGCTTCTTGGGGACCTCTTGGCCCGTCCTGGGGCCCTGTAACAGGGCTCCGGCATCTCTGGCCCGACCTTGCCGGGACCTTGCCGGGGACTTGCCGGGACCTTGCCGGGGACTTGCCGGGACCTTGCCGGGGACTTGCCGGGACCTTGCCGGGGTACTTTTCGTCCGGGGACCCCCAGGGGCCGCCCCGCGCGCGCGAACTAGAAATACTGTTAACCAGGTACCGGAGATCTTAGCACGCCCTGGCCCGTTGGGCCGGCGAATTCTTCATTAGTCTTTCGCTCGTTCGTTTGTCCTCCTTCTCCTCACCCTCCCTCCTCTGCGTTATTCTTCCCTCCTCCCCTTCTTCAGGATCCTCCTCCTCCTCCTCTTTGCCCTCCTCATGCCCGACCGTCTCCTTCTCACCCTCGTGGCCCTCCCTCCTCCCGATCCCTCGCCTCCTCATCATGCTCTCCGTCCTCCTGTGAGCTGTGAGCGGTTGGCCACTGTGTCTGTCAGACCCAGCGGGGGGGAATCGAATTAATGAGCTGCAAACCATAGTTGAACTCACGCGACAGCAGACCCCCCCCCCAGGGGAGGGGTAGCTATGTCCCCCATGCAGCCTGGGGCCGGGGGAGATAGGTAGGATAAGGCGCACGAACATCAATTACCTCAAGGAGGATGGAGGAGTGTGGTAGATTCCTTCCTCTCCCTCTTCCTCCTGCTCACCCCCTCCTGCCCCCTCCCGTCTTCGTGCTTGTGCCGAATTGAGAGGAAGAGGGGAAAAGGGGGGAGGAGCATGGACGAGCAGGAGGAGGTCGAGTGTGGGAGGACAGTGATAAGGGGGATGATAGGAACGAGGCAGTGGAAGGAGGATGGAGGAGGAGGAGGAGGAGGAGGAGGAGGAGGAGGAGGAGGAGGGACGAGTAGGAGGAAGGGCGAGAGGGCAAGAATAATGACGAGGAGGAACCAGGAGGTGGAGGCTGAGGAGTAGGAGAGGGATGGGGGAGGAGGAGCGGAGAAGTAGGAGGAGCAGCAGGAGGAGTAGGAGTGAGGGAGCGCGTCAAGCTTCTGCTTCACGTCTGGGCAACTTCAACAAGTATGAGGGATGGAGGGAGGGAGTGAGAGGAAGAGGAGAGGAGGAGCAGGAGGAGGAGGAGGAGGAGGAGGAGGAGGAGGAGGAGGAGGAGGAGGAGGAGAGGAGGAGGAGGAGGGGCGCGGTAGGGCCAGGACGGCCGGCGGCGGCAGGCAGCGTGGTCTCGTGGCAGGTCGAGCAAAGACCACGCGGGTCAAGGCGGGGACGACTGCCCCGCGCCCTTGTTTTTTATGCCAACGATCGAGTCCTCATCCTCCTCCGCCTCCTACTCCTCCTCCTCCTCCTCCTCCTCCTCCTCTTTCCTACTCCTCCTCCTCCCCTCCTCCTTCCTCCTCCTCCTTCCTCCTCCTCCTCCTCTCCTCGTCCCTCCTCTCCTCCTCCGTTCCTCCTCCCTCTCCTCCTCCTCCATTCCTCTTGCTCCTCCTCTCCTCCTCCTCCTCCTCCTCCTCCTTCTCCTCCTCCTCCTCCTCCCTTGGGGTCGGGCAGAGGCTTCGTCTCGGGGTCTGGCTGCGGCTGGGGCTCAGGCACGGGGTCGAGCTCGGGTGCTCGGCACCCGGGCTCGGGCTCGCAGGCTGCGGCTCGGGCTGCGGCTCGGGCATGGACTCGGGCTCGGGCTCGGACTCGGGCTCGACGTTCTTCCTCGACTTCGGCGTCTGGGGCCCGCCGTCGGCCCCTGGGGCCATCAAAGACGGATCCACGTCAAAACTGCTCCCGGGGAAGGGGTCGGGACCTCGCCGTGGGCCGCGCGCTGGGCAAACAACGCTTCGTCGGCTGCTCCCGGGGCGACGTCGGCGCCGACGTCTCTGCCTGCTTCCAGTGGCGCTGCCGGCGGCTCCCGCCGCCACGGCCCGGCGGGGCGCGGCCCGGAGCCCGCGCGCCAGTGACGGAGCAGGGCCAAAAGGGCCCAGGCCAGCGCCCTGCCGGCCGACGTCGGCGCCTGCCCCTGCCGCGGGTTCTCCGGGTGGCCTCGGGAGGATCCCGCCGCCGCGGGCACGGCTGGGACGCGCCATGCCCAGACGTCGCGTCGCCAAAAGAATCAGGGCGGGAGGTTTTTTCGCTGTGTTCGGCCCCTGGGAGCCCTCGCCGGGCCCTGGGCCGTCAAGAAACGACGCGGGATGAAAAGCCGATCCTGGGGAAAGGGGCTTGATTTTTTGGCTTACGCCGCCCTGGGCCGTCAAGAAACGACTCGGGATGAAAAGCCGATCCTGGGGAAAGGGGCTTGATTTTTTGGCTTACGCCCACCGCCGACCCCTTGGGGGAGGGTCGCTGTTGCGGCTTCTGGATGCTGCGTGACTTACGCTTATGGCCTTCGGGGGCCTGCCCGCGGCAGCTTGGAGGCCTCTGGGGAGCTGTTTTGGGGTCTCTTGGGGGCCTCTTGGGGCTCCTTGGGGGCCTCTTGGGGCCTCCCGGGGGCCTCTTGGGGCGGACAGCGCTCACATTCCTGCTATTGCTTTGGTCTTGCTTCGGCGTGCCACACCGCTCCCGCCCATCTCACGATCGGCGCCTCGGTCACCTCGAAGGTCGGCTCCTCCTGTGCTACCGCCAGCTGCAGTGTGAGGCTCTTGGCGCCCCATCCCCTAGGTAGTGCACGTCCTGCTTCGCGTCGTAGCTGCCGTAGTTGTTGGTCTGGCATGCCCAGGCACTTGCACCCATACAGCACCGAGCGCTTGAGCCCGCATTTCTACACCAGAGTCGTGCCCCTCGCCACCTTGCGCCCTCCTCCTTTGAGGTTGACCAGCCGCTTGTTCCTCGCCAGCATGCCGTTGAACCTCTTCTTGCTCTTCGACTTGGCCGCCGTTAGCGATGAGATCCACCCCCAAGTACGGGCAAACTCGCACCACTGGTAGACCTCGCTGCTGTATATCCTTGGCCACTACCTTGCGCAACCACTTCGCGCTGGCCATGACGGCCCCTTTGCCTGCACTCCCGATGGAGAAATTGAGGCCCAGCTTGTCGAAGCCCTCGAAGCACGCGCCCAGCGCCTGGCCGAACTCCTGCACTACATACTGCTGCTGCCGCCGCAACCGCACACACACAGGTCGTCCACGTACATCCTCCACTTGGCGATGGGCCTCTCGACCACCAGCCCGTCAACCGTCGACTGGATGACCATCTTAAGGAATCTGACCGAGAGCTTGCTCCCTGCGATGATGGTGGCCACCGTGCGCGTCTCCTCCGACACCGACTCGCCCACGATAAGCCGCCTCGCCATAGCGAAGTACGAGAACACCACTGCCAACACGCCCGTATTAAACTTGAGCTGTTTGCCCGCCTCCCAGAGCACGAAGTGGCTTACGCGCTCAAAAGCCTTGACCAGGCCCAGGATGGCCGTGATCGTTGCCTCCGTGTACTCGTCCTCCACGTCTGGGTTGTCCATCTCGTGACTGAGCAGCACGTCCCATGCTGCATCTTCCGCCGCCTTCCCGAAACTTGTGCAGTCCCAGGGTCTCCTGCTCCTCCGTTGCCCACTTAACCATGTACGGCTCACGCATGTTCTCCCAGATCCTGATCGTGGTCGGCAGCAGCCCGATCACCCGATCCGTGGTGAAGGTCTTCGGGATCATGAAGAAGAGAACCGTGCCCATGTGCACAGGCCACGCGAGCGTCTTCTCCGCGTCGTGAACGCCCCGTCGGACGCACCTTGCAGCAAGGACGGGTGCCACCGATCGACTCCGATACCCGTCTTCTTCCTGAACGTCCTGGCCAATCCTTTCAACTTGGCCACGTCTTCCTCTGTGAAGTCGTCCAGCTGTTCTCTGGCCTCGACCTCCCACGGCGTAACCTGCTGCTGCATGGGGTCACTTGTCCGCCATAATGCCTTCCACTCTGACAGCGTGAACTCTGCTGCTTCTAGCGGGTCTGCCGAGTTGTCCATCGTGTCCGCTCTCCTCGGCTTCCAAGCCTTGACTGGTTTGCTGAGCTTGTGCAAGAGCCCGTTTTTTATTGCTTGGGACATGACGGACGTCATGGCACCCGGCCCCCCCCCATGAAGTAACGCTCCCCCCCCCAGTGCGTTCCGGGCACTTCCGCCGTGCGCATCGTGATCCGCATAGGTGTCCGCATATGGAGCCGCATAGGAGTTTGGTCCGCAATCGTCGACGTCGTCGTCGTCGTCGCCATCGTCGTCGTCGTCGTCGTCGTCGTTGTCGCTCGTCGCTCGTCGCTCGTCGCTCATCGTCGTCGGGCGGGCGGACGCAGCTGGAGCCTTTTTTTATTCATTATATATATATATATATTGTTTTTTTTTTATTCCGGCCCATGACGGCAATCATTTGGGGGGGGGGCGATGACGTCACGTTTCGCGCCGGCGGCGTGTGGGAATGCCTAGGACTGACCGAGGACGGGTAGCAGCAGCATGTCGGTGGCGATCTGCACCACAACGCCTGCAGCAGCCGCGTGCAACACAGCGCCAATGTGTGCCACAGTGCCTGGTGGCACCACAGCGCTTGTGTACACCACAGCGCCTGCGTACACCTCATCAGCCGTGTGCAACACAACACCAGTGTACACCACAATGCCTGCATTCACTGCAGCGCCTGTGTGCACCACGGCGCCTGTGTGCACCACGGCGCCAGTGTGCACCACAGCAACCGTGTGCAACAAAGCACCATTGTTGCGTATAGAAAGTTATCAGGAATCCTTCTGACCAAATGGAACGCCTGTGGATTCAAAGAATCTTTATGGAAAAAAGGAGAGCCGCTGGAATCTACGAGTCGTCCGGACTCCGCCCGCATCATCCTAACTCGTCCCATCTGCGTCCAGGAGGCTCCACCTAAATTGGCCGTCCTAGAACCAAGTGGACTGATTCAGTCGTCCATTTTGCGGTGCACGCTGAGATGCGCACGCGCGTTGTAGCGCCGACCCGCGCCACAGGTGGGAAGGGTGAGGGAGGAGGAGGAGGAGGAGGAGGAGGAGGAGGAGGAGGAGGAGGAGGAGGAGGAGGAGGAGGAGGAAAAGGAGGAAAAGGAGGAGGACGAGGAGGACGAGGGGGAGGATGAGGGTGAGGAGGAGGAGGCGGAGGAGGCGGAGGTGGAGGAGGGCAAAGGGGAAAACGTCGCATTCTATTGCCAGCACTTCCTGGCGTGGTATTTAGCTTTCCGCAGCAGTTTATCACCGACATGCTCCTTCTACCTGTCCTGTGCACGCAGGCGCTCTGGTGCACACCAGCGTTGCGTTGCACGCGGATGCTGTGGTGTAGACAGGCGCTGTGGTGTGCACAGGCGCTGCGGTGCACGTAAGCATTGTGGTGTAGACAGGCGTTGTGTTGCACATGGCTGCTGCGGTGTACAGATTCGCTGTGGTGTACACCGGCGCTGTGGTGCACGCAACTGGTGCACGCAAGCAGTGTGGTGTACACGGGCGCTGCGTTGCACACGGCTGTCGCGGTGTACGCAGGCGTTGTGGTGTACACAAGCGCTGTAGTGCACGCGGGCACTGGTATACACAGGCGCTGTGGGGCAGATCGCCACCTATATGTTGCTCGCGTCGTCGTCGTCGTCGTCGTCGCTCGTCGCTCGTCGCTCGCCGCTCATCATCGTCGTACGCGCGGGCGCGGCTGTGGTGCCGGAGCCACACGGCGGGGGGGGGGGGGGGCGTTACGTCATACCACTTCCCCGCCCCCCCCATGACGCCCGTCATCGGGAAACGCGCTCCAAGCCCCCTGCCGAGCCCGCAGCCGCCGCTTCCAATTTGTCGGCCGACTTTGCGTGTCGCTCCTTTAACAGCTGTTGGTCGCACTCGTTGGACTTGGTTGTCGCCTCCGAGTAGAGCTCCTGCAGCTTGTCCTTGTCTGCGCTGCTTCTCCAGCGCCCTTTGGCCAGCAACTTGCATCGTGCTTGCCACACACCTTGCTCCTGTGTGGTGGGGTGTTTTGCGCGCTGCTCCCTGATCCTGAACAGCTTCTCCTGCTCCGTAACCTCGCGCAAGCGCTTGTCCCACTGCTCCGTCGTAGCATGCAGCCGCTGGCACACGCCCTGCATGTTCCGCAAGGAACGCGAAGTCTACCTTCACCAGATAGCCTGCCGCGTTGTCGTCGGAAAGTTGTCGTTCCTGGAGCTTAGCCGGTTTGATTCTCCACGTGGGCGCCTCCGCTCTACCTGCATGAGGGCCATGATCGCGAAGGCCTCCTTTTCCAGCTTGAGCATGCACTTGGTCCACTCCTGATTCGCCACTACCTGCGAGCTGAAGCGGCCAACCTGCTCGCGCCTCGACGGCGCGGGGGCGCAATCGATCTGCATATTTGGCAAGGGCTTCGGCTTTTCCAACACCCTGACCTTGCGCTCGACGACCTTCAGCTTGATCGTCAGCCCCACTGGCTTGTGAGGAGCTCACGGCCACTCATCCTGCATTCGGATGCCCGCCACCTGCGCCTCGACCGCGTCGGCCACAATGAAGTAGGCGATCTCGATGTTGCCGTAGGCGTGCTTGCACGTGCCACGCGCTGTTTCCGGCGCCATTCCACACGCCTTAGCCAACTTGATGCACTCCACCTCGGCCAGAACATCTGGCCCTACCGCCCGCGATCCATGGCGCTCCCAACATCTGCAGCTGACCCACCACGTGCGTGAGCAGCTCCCTGTTGCGGTACGACACGCCGTCGGCCGCCCACAGGTAGTTCGACGCGACCACGACGCGCTTGCCCACCGATGCCCAAGCCGCTGCTGCGCGCCCTGGGCCTCCTTTCGGTGAGATGTCCCACTTGTCCTGGCCGTAAGTCAGGAGGAAAAGAACCACACAGACACAATTAATCGTCGATTCCCAAGAAAATATGGGAAAATATTGGAAGTGGGGGGGAAGACAAAAACCCAGAAATTATCCCGGCAAAGCAACCTAACAGCGATGTGTAGAAGCATATCTGAAAGCATTCCCCTTAAGATTCAGATGAAAATCCAGTTGTCGAATTCTGCTGTTATCGCAGTCGTAGTCGCATTCGCGATGACAGTCGCAGCGGCAACGGCAGTCGCAGTCACAGCCTCAGCCTCAGC